CAGTAGCCGTGCTTTGGCGATACGTCTCTGTAGGTAAACGTCCTCTTCGTTTTTCATTTTTTTGAATACAGATAAAATTATTTGTTTGTTGTGGAAAAACTGACTACTAAAATTCACATCCAGTATGTCTACAACTTTCATTTCTTATCTCTCTTTCAGCAGAGTGCCTATCACCTATATCGTATCAAGAGATGTTTGAGCCATCTATAAGTAATCCAGTTCTGTGGAAGTGTCGATCATGTGGGAAACAAGTTTCTAATCGGTGGCACCACTTTCATAGTCACACCACGCATAGATCACTCTGTCCATACTGTACTGCATCATATAGTCGCATTGATACGTTAAGAAGTCACATCCGTGGGAAGCACAGACACTTGTTTTTCAAAGCTCTCAGTTAATACACATCAGTTACCATGCAATGAATAGTTTTAATACATCTGTTTGTGTTTTTTTGGGTGAGTTGTAATATTATTTTATTCTTAGTTGTAAGAAATGTTAAATAAGGTTACATGCACACAAGAATGAAGTAATTTTCTATTCTAGAGTTATTACAATAAATACATAATAGTATTAGATTCTTTTGAAACGAGGAAACTTCTGATAAACTGAATCTGTTAGTTCTTAGGTCAGTATGAATGAAGTTTGACTGCTAAATGACCACAGAAGATTAAAAGGAAACTGAAATTGAGCAGAAATATTCTTCACATTTGTAGCATACAGTTTGTTGTAGAATATCTGTGCAATGCAGTAATGTAGAACACTGAAGTAAAAATTCTAACATTTTTATCATCTTCTCATATACTTTCTTTGTGGACTTTGTGTAAAGTCTTTACAGCAACAGTGTTTACATAAGATAGACTTCTTGGTTGTATGGCAGTATCATAATCTGCTTACTGTAAAAACTACTACACACACACACACACACACACACATGCAAGCATAAGTGCATATATACCTGACCCTCGGTTTATGAACTTTCAATCTATAAATTTGTGCAATGACAAACCATGTAAATGAATACATATTTTTCAGTTTTACATACATTTCTTTCCTTCAGGAAAAAACCAATTAATTTCTTACCACTGATATGAATTTTCACCTTACTAAGTTTTTCATCTAATGAATTATGTTTATAAATTGAGGGATGGGTGTATAATGTTATTCTATGCTGAAAACTGAACACAAAAGCTACATAGGAGGTCTAAAGAGCTTAGTTATGAAGATATGAGGTGACTTTATTGCTTTCAGTTGATCATAACTGAAAACTAAACATATAAGCTATTTTAAGTGTCCTTCATGCTCTGACAAGAGCTAAGAACATCTTACAGGCCCATCCATACGTCTGTCACATATTTCATAGGAACTAGGCTATCTGTGTAACCCTTGCAACACTGGGCCGTCACAGTGGCCGCGCGGTCTGAGGCGTGGTCCTTGTGCCACTCAGACACTGGGACCGTGGGTTCGAATCCCACTCAAGCCTTGGATGTTTGTTCACGTCTTTCTGTGTTGTGCTGTCCAGTGTACAGGTAAAGGCCTTGCAACGAGCTGATCACTCGACCAAGGAGTCATGGGTTGGCTGTCTTCTTTTCAGTATTGTAAGTTGGACTTATTATAGCACTATGAGTTCTATGACAGAACACTTCTATTTTGAGTCATTTTAATGAGATATTTTGTATTAATTGAGAGCACTGCTGATATTGTGACTGGAACCCAGACAAAGAACAGACAAGTGAGGAACTCACGTGGGGCCCAACATGCTTTAGTTCTTGAAATTTTAGGTTATCACAGCACTAAAATGTGATTTGTAGTGAATCTGGATATGATGCCATATAGTCTTATAGGTGGTTATGAACATTCAGAGGAAACTGCTGCCTCCAACTTCAGTCCACATTTAGATTCTTATCTTTGCCACAACATAAATAATGGCTCCAGGGTAATCCAGTGGATAACAGTGGCTCCTTCCAAATGAATAGAGCAGACAGCACATAAAGCTGGCCTTTACTTCCATATATTGCTGAGTTAAGTAATATCCACTCATCTGTGCCTGACTGAAATGTATTTGCCTTAATTTAAATGATTTGAACATCATGATAAAACTGTTTGATATTGTAAAGTGAAGCTTTCACGGTGACTGAAGCTGATGAAAGACAACTGGGTTACAAGCCACCTGATGCGGTTTGTAACCCGGGAGTCTCTCATCAACTGTTTGATAATATTTTAATGTTTGGAAAAATTTTATTTCAAGGTGGATATGAAAAGGAGGGACAAAGGATCTTGAAACTTGTTCTCAGGCTTATAAATGCCTTGTCATAAATATTATTAATTTATGTTAATCTTACCAGCTCCCAGATGGATGGACTTAGCCCCCACATAATTCATACTTTGCTATGCACTTTGTAAACATCATCTAAAGTTTGTTGGTTTCAGATTGTAACTTATAACTCAGTACAGCCAGCAGCTGTAACAGAGTTAAAGTAGTGATATATGAAAGCATTGTGATTATAATAAAAACATTATAAAACAGCAACACAATTGATTGTATTTGCTTGGTTATAATAGTGACTTTTCAGTTGCATTTCAGAAACTACTTTGTAGAATCATAATGTTTGTCTCCTCGTAAGAGCTTCAAAAATATTGAAACGTTTGTTCAAACTTAGTACAGTAGGTAAACCTACATTATCGTTTGTCAAACCATTTCAGTTTTGGTTTAATGGCCACTCTTTTTAAAGATTTAATTTTAAATTTTTAGTCCAACAGATTCTTAAGAAACTTGATATGTAACAACTCTGTTATGTAGTTATTATTATTAACCTTTATCTTAATGTAGTTAAAATTGCTGACATTTTGTGTTTATCTTTTGAGTCCTTCTGACACATTTCCATGAAACTTGGTGTAAGACACTACTCTTACATATTTACACGCACATACACATGCAAGCGCACACAAACACATACATACACATGTACAAACATCTTTATTACATTCCATGTAATCATAAGTTAGCCAGTAGACAACAGAATGTGGAATAAGTCATAGTAATACAATATGTATATACAAGTACAGTTCATATTATTATAAATATTTCACATGATATAAGTATATGGTTCACATAAAGTAGTGGTATGTTATAAATAAATCCACCCATTACATATAGTAGATAAATTGTACTACCCATTTATATTATATAAAGGCAAGAAAGCCAAAATGACTTATTTGTAAACATTAGAAATTCATCAACACAGTGAAAGGAGTGTGTAATTAAGTGTATTTTCAATGCTACTTTAAACAGTGCCTTTTATTTATAAGACTTCTGAGAATATATATTTACATGGAAGAGCTAATATCTCCTGATCTCTTAAATAGACTTCTACATGAATTTCTAGATTTGACACCAGCCATTAACCTAACAATTTTCTTTTGTAAAGTGAATATAATTTTGCTGTTAGATGAGTTAGCCCAAACAGTTATTCTGCACATCATTATGGGGTGAAAATAGCCAAAATAAACTGATTTGAATGTGTCAGTGTTCCTGACATGCATTATAGATCTGACTGCATAACATGTTCCACATGTAATACAGGAAAGAGTTTATCAATATGATTTGTCCAGATTAGGTGCGTATGAATTTGTAAACCCAGGAATGTCATATTTACTGACGGTTCTATAAGTCTATTATCATATACGAATCTTTTTGTAAACCTTTCAAATCCCTTGCTGATTCTTAAATATGGCACATTTGTTGTATGAGATTTTTACTGTATAAATAAGATTTGAGGTTCTCACGGTGGTGAGTATGAAGATGGCTGTCTTCTGGTTTGTAGCACCATGTAATCTGGTAGAAGTTTACCAACATTTCAGAGGTCTTTGCTGTCTCTATCATTAGAGTGATGAGTGCCCTGATGACAGAGGCAGCAAAGATCTATGAAACTTTGAAACGTCTATCAGACTACATGTCGCTATAACCCAGAAGACAGCCAGCTACTGTTGTACAATTTTCACTGGTGGTAATTAATTTTAAGGATGTTTACTTAGACCGAATTTAACCTGCGTGCACCTGTGTCTTTTGAATCCTTCAGTAGATTGTATAAAACTCTGAAGTTGTGGCATTTCTGTATGAGAATTATCATGTATAAATTTCACTTTAATTTATTTTGAGGGTATAAGAGTACTACACCATTCGAATTTCTAATTAAACTTACACGAATAATACCTGTGAGTCTATAAAGTTGTCCCGCTACGCGCCAGGTAGGCGCACAGGGAGAGGAAATGTAAAGCTCCTACTTCTGCTGTTCCTAATATTAGTTTGAAGGTGGCGCCCATGAAGATCAAGATGTCGTACACTCGCGTCCCCGAATACAGCGCTAGTTGTTTGAGCGGTGAAGTTATCTACTTAGCGTCAACAAAGGCTTACACCAAATTGGTACGGATAATTTGTGTTTTACATTGATAAAGAAGTACCTTGGCGCGTGTGTACTTAAACAAATTTCAACCCTTAACCTAAAATGTTGAATGACAGTTATGTAATGGTATTTGAACGTCCAGAAGCACGTTGAAACACGTACATCTTGGAGGGTCATGGTGGCAACTTTTTAATTTTTCGTTTTACATGTAATGTTCTGACGACAGACGTAGAACGAAGGGGTATTTACAGCAGTAAGACGTAAATGAGACAATACCGTCATGAGAAGCACACAACTCCGTCGGGTATTAACTGTTGTTGTTTTGTTGAATTAAAATTCTGCTGCCTCGTAATAAACAGGAATATGTCATTTAGAAGTTTGTACCGTACAGTAAATAGCCGAACATTTGATTATTTAACTGCCTGTAGCTGCATGAAATAATTCACCTAACAAAACTAAGGTCAGTAATTCACAAACACTTGTTTCTTTGGTTATGAACTATTATGCATATTTCATTATTCCTTCAAGGCCTGTCATTCTTTCCTTAAGTGTATATTTATTTACTTGAAAGTATAAATATTTTTCTTTGTTTTGTTGCAGTGGCATCTGTCACTTTTCCAAACAACATGGCAGATTGCTATGATGTGGATGTAGAACGCACTGATGAACCGTGTGCATCAACTTCAAACCTACCTTTTGGAATGGGAGCATATGGCAAACCACATGGCCCACCAAATCCTGTTGCCATGTTTTATCCTCAGCTTTCTGGTTATGAGATCCACCCTCTGTTAATGAATCAGCGACGAAGGGCAGCTCACGACAAACAGCAAACTGAAAGTGGAACTGCAGATAAAGATTCAGCTTCATTAGGCTTAGTGACAACACCAATACACAAAGAATTGATGCGACACAGCTTTAAACAGAAGCAGAGGTGTCCAAAAAGAAGAGCCCCAAGCAATGATGACCCAGGAGATCTCTCTACAACATCTGGGAACACTTTTCCTCAAAGTGTCACAGGTTCTGAAGCAGAAGCTTCAGACTACTCAGCCAAATCTCGGAAATCTTTCTTCTGCAGAGCGTGTGGGAAAGCTTTCAAGTTTCAGACGTCACTCTTGCGTCACAACAACAAAGTCCACATCAGCAAATATCAGTGTCCAACTTGCAGCCGCGTTTTCTCCCGACAGGCGTACCTTGATGTGCACACTTCAAAACAAGGAAGCTCCTGTTACCTCGGTTCAGGCTTTACCAATACCCCGATTGCCAGTTCTCCAAAATCAGACTCATGTTCAAACATGTCTAACATTAAATAAGGTTATGAAATGAATTGGAGTTAAACCAAAAGTAGGATGGCTGATATGTGAGTACGGAAGATATTGATAGTAGAATATATTACAATTTATGGGCTGTGACTGTTGATGGTATGAGAATAGTTCCAGCCCCAAAGGAGGATGTAATGTGTAAAATAAGAAATGGTACGTTGTTTCTGAAGTGAAAATCCAATTGTACAGAACAAAGGCATGTAGTTAATATATAACAGACTGTACATTTATTCACAGGCCATTATTGTGGTAACCAGTGTAGCCTAACCTTTCGGTCTTCCCCTTTTTTCTATTTAAATATAAATGCCATCCTTAATTAGGTATGGGTGGACTGTTGAGAACATTGGTGTGACAGGAAAATTTGCTTTACACACTTCTGTAATATATTATGGATCATATATTTTATGCAAGATTTGATGCACAGCGGAAGTTAACCTCTAAAAACTAACTGCATGGAGCAAAGTCCTTGAGAAGCTGATGTGCTCAGCTAGTCAAGAAATTTTCCACTTTTGGTGGAACATGAAGGTTCGTTATTGTGTTCAGAAGAACCCACCGCAAGTCTCTATCCTGAGCTTGATGAATCCAGTCCACACCCAGCCTTATTTCCCTGACATCCATTTTAATATTATCCTCTGTATGTACACACAGTTATTTAAAGTGGTCTCTTCCTTTCAGTCTATTTCAACCAAATGTTTGTCATTTCTCCCAAGTGTGTTACATGCCCTGCCCATCTCATCCTTCTTTGCTTTAACCGTTCTGATAATCTTTAGTGAAGATTACAAAATATGTAGCTACTCATTATGCAGTTTTCTTCTCTGTCCTGTCACTTCATTCCTTTTGGGGCCAAACATTGTTCTAACCATCCTGTTCTCACACACTTGCAATCTGTTTTCTTCCCTTAGCATTATAGACCAAGATTCATACCCATACAAAACAACAGCTAAATTATATTTTAGTTTATGTTTTAGTTGCTTTAAAATGGGGTGAATGGAAACAATTTTCCACTTTACAGAGCTCTAGCGATGAAATGAGAAAAGTAGCACAGCGTATTGTTTTACATATATGTTCATGTATGTGCCTATGTGAAAACGCTACATCTGGCAGTTTTGTAATGCGAGTCAGGTTATTATGAATATATAAAAAATATTCTGTTTAGATCAAAGCTTGATAGAGTTGGTGGATAGATGTGAGAATAAGTTTTCTTCAGTTTGGATCTTGTTTCCAGCATGCCTGCTGAAATAGGGTAATGGAGTAGTCTTTACCCATTTATATATATATATATATATAAATGGGTTATATATATATATAAATCTGATCTTGCAGACAATGTTCTGTTATATTATGTGCCCTTGTGGCATCCTTCATTACAAGAGTGATGCAGCTTGTTGGCATGGAGGAAATGAAATCAGATCTCGCAACTGAAACTGTTTATTGACCCCATTCTACAGTAGCAAATTCAGAGATAAACTGTTCCCAACAGCACTGTAGTAAGCATACCCAAACTTAATATCTTAATTTCCTTACGAATCAAATTTTGATTGTTTCCAAAATATTGGAATTTTGCCATATTTTCAAAGCTGCTTTTATATGATAGTTTTGACCTGCAGTGTAGTGACAAGACATGAACATGTACTTGGTTCTGTCCATATTTACTTCTCTACTAACATCTGACACAGCTTCTGTGTTTTTCTTTATGATATGTACATTTTACATGTTTTTCAGTCACATTTTCTTTTCTTGGAAATTCCTGATGGCATGTTCTAAAGCAAGGTTGAAAAACATTGGTAATAAGACTTACTTATCTCAGACCATTCTAAATAAAATATGCATCAAATAAATGTTTACTTTTTGAACTTTATTACATGTTTTAGTTAAATACATTTGTAATTAACCTAACTAGTTTTATGGACTTAGTAAACTTGGTGAGAATATTGTCTTACTCCACTAAATTGTTACCACCTTTATGAAAGTGTTACTGATTGAAAAGAAAAGTGTTCGCAAATGTAATTTACCTTCTATGATATTTCGTTCCGTTGCCCTTCTCTATCTATGCAGAAAAGTTTGGTGTTAAATGCTGAGTAAACAGCACAGTGATACATTTCTGCCAGTATGCAGGCAGTGACTTGTGTTATATGCTGCTTTAAGTGATCAAGATTTTGTGGATTTGCTGCATAAACATGATCCTTTACCATCTTCCATGACCAGAAATCACAAGGAGTTAAGGCCAGTCATCTAGTAGACCAGACCAGAAAGCAACATCTGCTCATCCACCAGCAAGGGACTGTACCATCCAGGTAATTTTAAACTAGTAGCACAAAGTGGGGTGGTGCTCTATCTTGCTGAATGTAACGTGAAACATGAATGCTGAGTGGCATGTTATTCTCAGGAATCTCATGCAGTGTCTATGATGCATCATTAATTGTTGCGTTTTAACAAAAAGTAGGCGCCCACGATCTAAAATTCCAAAACACCGCACTAAACATTGACCTTTGATAATTGTCTTTTACAAACTCTGATCACTCATACATTTTTAGTGCCGCATACAACATGGCTGTGTTATGTGGAGGGTAACCTTATTTGAGAAGAGAATTTGTATGTCATTTATATTCATGTTTCACATTTCTGGCAAAATATTTATATAGTCCACATGGTTACTTCAATCTCTCTCAATCAGTTTCTGTATCGGCTGCTTCAGTCCTGAGTCCAAAGAATTCTCAGGATGTTGAGATAGGAGGTTTTTATAGCAGTGAGGATGATGATGATGATCATCATCTGTGTAGATTTGTCAGTCGATGCCGACGTTTCTCTGAAACGTTGGTGTCTACTGATGAGTCTCGGTAAAGATGTTTGTGGGATGCCTGTTTTGACTTGATCTGCCATCTCATTTCTTTGGGCTGTTCCCAGCTTTCCTTTTTATGTAGACATTGTTATTTTTTTTATTGTATTTCATCATGTTATGACTCTGTTGAACTTCAATATTGATTCTCAGTCAATCACACAACAATTTACAATAAATAACTTTCACTATAGGTGTGTTATTTATTTTGTCATTAATTCCTTATTGTGACATGTTTGGGCATCTTCAGAAATCACCACTAATAACCTGATGACCAATAGAATTTGTACTACCTGTAACGCTCTACATGTTTTGTGTTTTGTTGAGGTTCATAATGGCCAGATTATAGCAAATGTCCACACATCACTGTCACAGTTTACATATGTAAGTCTCTGTAATCTTTAGATGATTGCATGCAAGTGTTCATTTCACTATCATAATCTAAAAAGCATAAAACTTCTTAATTAGTAAAATATGGAATACAGTAAAACAAATGTTTGTATACACCTTGGGTATAGTATGTTGTCATGGAACATCTTAATCTGTAAAGAATTCAAGAAAATATGCTTTGGATATTGTGTGGTGTCATTGCTTTTTAATAAGTGCTATTACATTGCTTTGCCTGCATTTCTGTGTTTCAACCATTCTTGAATGTCTCCTATACCCCACATCATCATTCACAATTGATCCGTTTCTAACAAATGTTTCGTGTATCCAGCAAACTTTTAACCAGCTGGGCAGAGCTTTATCTAAGTAATCTTTCAATATTTTCCTCATCCTTAATGGCAACCGATAATACCACCATCCGAGATGCAGTTTTTCTCTATTCTTCCACACTGAATCTCAATATGTGAAAACACATGAAAAATAATTAAAATGTGAAACAAAATTAACATCAGTTACATCTGCAAACTACACACATTCAGTCCATTAAGAGTCAGTTACACATCAGTGTTACTAGCCTTTAAAACATTTGTTTTCCATAAATAATAGTTTTATAAAAGTGGTAACAGTTTATTAGAGGACTCCCTCCTTACTGAATCCAGTCTTCCTGTAAATAGCTAATATGCACTTATATTTTTTCTCCAACATCTAGTGAATACAGAATATTTGATCACTGTTTGATGTACGTCTTAACCCATACTGATGATCCCTCAATAATTTCATTTACATATGGAGTTAAACCTTGACAGTTGGATAATTTTTTTATGCAGTCAATTCATAATGGTGATATTCCTTGATAATTACTGCTAATTCTTATAAATTGTTACAATAATAGATTCCTTCCACTACTCTGACAATTCTTCCTTTTTCCAAATACAGTTAATAAGTTTGTGGATCTCAGAATGTAAATGTAATTACATCTTATACAACTCTACTGGAATTTTATCATAACATAGTATATCTTTTTAAGTTCTCAATAGCAGTATCAGCCTAAATAGAGCTACGCTTTGCTGCTAGTGGTTCAGCTGTTAACCCAATGCACATTCAAAAGCTGACAAAACTATTTTTTCCATCTGTTCAAAATACATGTGGGAATGTACAAGTAAGCCACCATTCTCATCTTTTACAAATTTAGTCCTAAGTTGGTAGCTTCTTAGATTCAGTTATGCCTTTGTACAAGTCTATGACATTTTTTTTACTGCTTGTTTTATTCTTATTAATTTTGTCTTTTATTTGTGAGATTTCAGATTATCATGTGATGAATATATTGATATTGCTTTGGATTTTGACATTGTGTAAACTTGAAGGTAGGTACCAATGTTTTGAAGAAACACAGTCTCTATATTAGTATTGGTATCTAACGAAAATCTGCGCATTGTCACAATCCAGAACATTGAAATTGTCTTTCATATATTCCCTTTCTTGGTTCTGAAAGTTCTGCTAACTTCATCTCCATATTGTCTCCATTCATTTGGCCTGGACTTTGCAACCACTGCAGTTATGCCTGCTCAATTTCACATAATAATTTTGAAGATTCTTTGTCATAGTTTATTCCACTCTAACTCATAATGACCTGGACTCTCTTTTGGTGAAATGTGTATATTCTCTCTGATATTTTCCCTAGCCCTGTTGATGTCCATAATGTCATTCAAGTTTCCCAAAGCTTCAAACCTATTTAATATTTTGTTATAACATTCACTTTCATACAGTAGCGTAGGGACAGCCAACATTTCTTCTTATACCGTTTGATATGTATTATGCGTATGATCAGTTAGATATTACGTTCTCATAGCGGCGGCCGTAGTATTTATCAATCCCTGTCGGATGATGCAAGACATTACAAGTACGATCCGTGCTGTTATCAAGTGCATTCAATCTGTAGTTTGTGAAGTTATTATAATGTACAGCAAATTGTGTACACACCGTGTTCACAGTTGATTGTCAAATCGCAGAATTCATTAGAATTCTTGCTGGTACTTTTAATCTGTGAGCATGTACATGACGTACAGGAATTTCAAATGTGGAATGTAATCTGTGTAAGAATTTGCTTGTAATGGTGTCTTGTAGGGTAATTTAAAGTTTGTGTGTATAAAACAACTATATTTTGAAGTCAAAAGTAAGTTTGCTATGTAGTTTGTAATAGTACCGTTTCTTTAGTACACGAGATAGTGATTGAAATTTGCCATAATTTATATATTCTATTTTAAAGATATCAGAGTTTGTGATACGGTACTGAATAGCTGCAACACGAGTTACGTGTTTTTTCGTTCGTGGTATATAATACTGGAGTTTGTGCAGAATGTTGTATGAGTCTGACACCATGAATTTTTTTAACATTATCTGTTAGTGTTGTTTCCTGGTTAAGATTGTCTTTTTGTTAGGTTAGGCCACATTAGCTTAGCTCAGCTTAAGTGGAATCAAACCGTATTTTACGGCTTGGATTTTTCCTAATCTTGTTTTCAGTTTTTGTTTAACTTGAGTTCATTTTTACTGGAATATTTTTAGAATTATTTTCACTTGAAACTACACTTACTGAATGACATCATGGAAAAGAAACATGCAATTTCAGCCTTACAGCCTTTAACATTCACTCACGGCTCCTCACAGCCCATTACATTGTTGACAGTATTACCCCAAAAATTGTTACACAAGAAAGCATAACCAATATTGTTTACATGTATGTATAATAGCTAAGAATTTTTGGTCAAGGCAAATTTATGGAGTAGAAGGAGTGAGATAGGATATTCTTTTAGTACTGGCTCAAACTTCTTTATATCATGATTCAGACTTTTTATAGAAGAGGGAAGATTATTGAATTGCTTAATTCCAGTACTGTAAACTCCTTTTTGATATTTACTGAGATTGGAATTTGGCTCATGAAGGTTATATCTGTATCTTGTATGTATGTTGTGAATATCTGAATTTGTTTAACATTTTTCAGTGTTACCCACTGATGATGAGAGCGAGAATTTGCTGTCTAGTGGAAGAATATTGATTTTTTAAACAATTCCCTATATGAGGCTCTCCTTTTAGCACCTCCCATTGTTTTAATGATTTTCCTTTAAATGTAAAATATGTTTTTGCTGTCTGCTAAGTTTCCTCAGAAAATAATTTCATGTGTTATGATCAAATGGAAGTAAGCAAAGTAGTCTAATTTTAAAGTTTAGTGCTCCTCTAAGTTGTCTGTGCAGTCAATCAATGGCAATAGGAGCTTTCCCAGAACAACTCAAATATTGAAAAGTTAAACCTCTATATAAAAAAGGTGAAAAATCTTGCATGTCTAATTACAGACCAATTTTGTTACTAACAGCATTCTCTAAAATACTTGAAATAATTATGTGTAAGAGAGTAAGTGATTTCTTAAACTCTAACAATGTCTTTGCAGGTGAACAATTTAGAAAAAATCTCCCAACTGATAGAGCCCTGTTCAGTTTTACAGATGAAATCTTAAGTGCACTAAATAATAAAGTGCATGTTGGTGGAGTATCTTGCTAAAGCATTCAATTGTGTAAATCTCATGTACCACAGATTTAATCAGATTAAACTATCTAAACCAAACTTATCACCAACTTTAGATTTGTTTGAGAAAAAAAGTCATGTCCAAGGAAAAAAGTAAAGCTGCCCCACTATACACCATGTAGGCATTTGGGGGGAGAGAAGGTACAAGTCCTACTCATTCTTGACCTCGGCACTAGAAGCGGGTTAGTGGTCAGCATCACGCCCCGACTGGGATAGCTGAGTCAGTATAGTGACTAGCTACGGGCTGGACGACTGGGGTTCGATCCCTGATGGGGGCAAGGATTTTTCCTCTAGCCTCTGCGTCCAGACTGGCTCTGGGGCCCACCCAGCCTCCTATCCAATGGGTACCGGGGTCCTTTCCTAGGGGTAAAGCGTGGCCAGGGCATGATGCTGACCACTCACCCCCATCTCTTGCTGAGGTCAAGAAAGAGTAGGAGCTCCCCCCCAAACAGCATACATGGCATGTAGTTTTTTGTGTGTTTGTATTGTATTATCAATTTGTATTTTGATGCTTCTTTTCTATGAAAGCTATGATTTTTGGTTTCTTGGTGTGATTCTTTCCACACTTCTGTTACTTTATATAGCATACATACTCCTCTTGTGGGTTATATACTGGTTTAGAGATGACTTTTTTCAGTTTAATTTCTTATAATGTCCTAATTCATGTAGAACATGTAATATAGTCCTTGAGAGGCTAATGGTCACTCATCTAGTCAGGAAACTGTTACCATGTTGTATAAGTCTGCCACTAGTCCTTGTCCTGAGCCAAATGAGTCCATTCCATATCTTCCCACCTTTCTTCTTTAAGATTCATTTTAATGTTATCCTCCCATCTATACCTAAGTCTTCTGAGTGGTCTCTTCATTTCAGATTTTCTGACTACATTATATGCATTTCTCATCTCATCCATGCTTGCTACATGTCCTGCCCATTTTGTCCCCTTTTGGTCTTATCAGTCTAATATTGTTTGTTGAAGCCCTTCATTATGCGGTTTCCTACAGTCTCCTTTTACATCTCTCATGGATTAAAATATTTTCCTCAACACCCTCAACTAATAGATTTTGGAGTGGATGGTAGCAGGTGTTCTTAAAATTTAATCTGTTTTTAATGTCACTGTTAATTTAATTTTGATTTATTGCTGCAATTCTAAATTAGTTTAACTTTGGCATTTGATACAGCTTTGTTAAATAGTACATCAGTGCAACCTAACCACTATTAACACCTCCAAGTGGCTGTAAAGGTCTCGTCTAGTTCGTGTCCAGTGTTTTTGATGGCAGCAGATGTTGATTAAGTTTGTGAGTTTGTTGGTTAATAGATAAAATAGGTTTTGTGACTTCAATATGTCATACTGTGTGTATTTTTGTGTTGTTTTGTAATTCTACTTTGTTTCAGGTTTACTTTGTAGACAGCCATGGCAGATTATTTTGAAGAAATGGGCTGGGAGCCTTTGGGCCCAGGGCAAGCACCAGATCAACTTTTGCATTTGGCAAGATTACTTAGGGACTTTGGGATGTGGGAGGAGTTGGGACATGGACAGAGACTGCCACCATCTGCATCAAAGGCTTCCATTATGAACTTGCAGGAGAAGGAAATCAAAATTTCTGGTATATATCTATACCTGATTAAATTATGGAAAGGAATACTGTATGTTTGTCACTAATTCACAAGCCACTTGTTTTAAAAATGGACTGTATCTCTGTCACAATATTTATTTCAGAATGAATTTTAAACCTTTATGTAAGACTTCTCTGTTCGTTCCCCATCTATGTAACTGATTTTGTGTTTATGGATCAGTAAAATGAGCATTATTCCATTAAGCTAGTGTTCCAAAATTGACATGACACCAAAGGTTTAAGGTAATTTTTTGTGAGGAATTATATATTTGCACTTCGTAGTTAGAAAGCCAATATATTATACTTTCTTTTAGAATTTGTAATACACACACAAGGTTCATCATCAGTAGTTTTATGTAGTGTGTAATGTTTTTGTATATATATCTGCTTTCATATAAGGCAGGGATTTGTGCATGGTTATTCATAATTCTCTGACACATTACAAAAAATCTCTAGACTTGAATAGTGCAATGGATGGTAATGTAGGACATGCCAATAAAAAGAGAAACTCTCCAAGTTTATTTTACATACCCCTTAAATGCTCTATGTGTCGGCCCTTTATGATGTGGCAGACGTCAAGCCGATAATCCATTTCTGCCCGTACCCACTGCAGCATGTCACAATCAATTTGTGAGATGGCAGCGATGATTTGTCTTTGCAGCTCAGGCAGATCCCGTGGCAGAGGCGGTACAAAGACCTGGTCCTTAACGTACCCCCATAAAAGAATCACATGGCATCAGGCCAGGTGATCGGGGTGGTGAACGAAGCAGCACATGGTCATTGGCAGCAATGCGTCCAATCCAACGTTGTGGCAAATGCTGATTGAGGTAGCCATGGGTGGACGAGGCAGTGGTAGTATGGCGGAGCCCCTTCTTGCTGATAAATGAAGTCATCGCTGTGATCATGAAGCTGCATCATTAGCCATTCCTCCTTCATCTAAAGATAGGATGTGCCAGTGACAGTTTCCTCAGCGAAGAAGAATGGCCTGTACACGTTCTTTTTAGATATGCCACAGAAAATGTTCAGTTTCGGTGAATCCCAAATGTGCCCAATTGTAGTATGTGGGTTTTCACTTCCCCATACCCGCACATTGTGTCTGTTTACCTTCCCATAAACGTGAAACGTACCTTCGTCGGTGAAAATCAGTTTTTCAGCAAAACCGTCTTCCTCCAAGTGCTACTGCAAAATTGGAAAGTTCCTCTTTCTATCGGCATGTCACGCGTTACCATCCTTTGCACCATTCAAGTCTGGCGATTTTTTGTAATGTGTCAGGCAATTATGAGTAATCCAGTATATAGGTACATACTTATGACCATGTTTCTGTTTAGTACCCCCTGTTCATGAGGCAGAATTTACTGGTGTGCTGTCTTGTGTCTTTGACAAATTAGGATGTGGTTCAGGTGAAAAACGTTTGCAGAAAGCTGTCTTAAACAACATTAACAAGTGTATCTTTGTTATGGAGATAAGCTCAGTTTTCTTTCCAGTACAGAATGAGTTACTAAATATTATTTAGATGAGCTTCACCTTCAAAGGATGTAAGTTCAATATGAATACATTAAAACTAAAGTCACCAACGAAAATGAAGGTGAGTGGTATTGTGAGAAAAAGAGAGAGAGATACAGTGTCTGCTTCATGCTAAATGAATGGTTTATATGCCAACTCTGTGGAGCCAATTGGCTCATGATGGCCTGTGACTATAAGTGTACAGAAGTGACCAGAACAAAGCCATCATCATTCTTATTAGTCACTTTTAATGTCTCTGAGTGAGGTAGTTTTCCCTCTTGAAGAAATCAGCTAAAGTGGGCGTACTGGAAGTTATTTGCCAGGATCCTGGAATGCAGACTGAAAAACATGATTCTTGCATCCATTATGGGATATCTGACTGACTGATTGCTGGGACTGGTTACCATCGTTACTCTTCCTAAGTTCTGCCATCATGTATAAAGTGAAGCTTTCATGGCGACTGAAGTTGATGAAAGACTCTTGGACTACAAGCCGCGTCAGGTGGCTGAATGGTGAATACACCGTATCCTCTGCCAACGTTTTGAGAGCCGTCTCTGCCCTCATCCTCAGGGCAGCTGCGTAACAAACTGGTCTTCTGTAGTGCACTTGCTGATGGGAACTGGCAGTGGACGGCATGGTGTTGCTGGTGGCCTGTCCGTTGCTTTGTTTCATGCTGACCAATATGAACCAGCAGTCGAGGTCAGGTGCTCACTCTTGCTGGCTTGGCCTTCCAGGCGGACAGCAGTTTTATGACAGGATACCAGGCCCGGCTCTGAGTGAAACTATCATCCCTATTGAAGTTGTTGCCATGCAGGTGGATCTGCCATCATGTCCATGAAATTTATAATAAAAATGTGGGGTATGAAAGTGCAGAAACAAGGATGTAGGAATATATCTATTGTCTCTTCTTCCTCAGACATTTACATTTGAAGTTGGTCATCTGACAATCAAGCCTCTTCATCTCTCTGTCTTTCCACAACTCCTCATTTTCAGTTTCTTCTCATGACCCTCTTTCACCCTGTGTAACATCTTTCTTAACCTGTTCTTCCTATCCATATCTTGGTTTTCCTCTTAAACATTTTACTTTCACATTCGTGTTTGAAACCTTCTTTGGAATTCTGTCTTCATTCATTCTCAAAATGTATTCTTTCTAGTTAATTTATTGTTCCTATTCTTAACCCTTTAATACTGCTAGTTCTTTTACTTTGGATCACTGCAGTCTTTCCGAGACGTTGTTTCTTGTAAGCAGGCTGAGTATCCACTATCGTCTTGCTTTACCTGTCATAGCTTTACCATAGCCACATTAGCTTTTCATATTCATGGCTCTTACCAGATGTTCTCAGCTGCCTTACACATGCTAAGGACTAGGTCCCTGCTGTGTATTTCCGTGAGAAGCTTTCCCCTGCTTGAATATTGTTCCCCTCCTGTGGTATGGCTTTAGGGGGGGATTCTTTAAGTATTGGCAGGACTAATGATATTTTTATAACAGGTGAACAGTGTCCTGTATGCTTGAAAGAATACACAGTTGGAGAAACTGTGAAAGTGATGCCATGCAAACATTCCTTCCATTCATCATGTATATTGCCATGGTTGGAAAAGGTAAGTGTAATTCTAATTTTTCACATGTATAAATTGCTAAGAAAAATCTCTATTCAGCCATGTCCGGAAGCTGCAAGTGTTATAATCCAAGTGTCTTTGCATTGCGACAGACACACCTTGGTACTTTAGTAACAGGCAAATTGACGAGGATTTGGGGATCCCGCTCTTCGCCGACCACATCAGAGCACTGATCGAGAGCTTCGATTCTAAGTTAGCTGGTGTGGGGAACCCCTTAGTCCAGCAACTTAGGAGGCACTTGTGCCAATTGAGGGCTGACAGAGGGCATGATCATCATGCCTGCCAAGGCTGTCCCTGAAAAGACAGCCAAGTCGGCACAACGAGTGTTCTGACCGTTCGGCTACTCTGACTGAGGTTTTCCGTGTTTTTCCTCAGTCTTAAGGAAATGCTAGGGTATAATTCAAAAGGGGCTTGACCAGCCATCCCCAATCATGTAGGCCTTCAGCTGAAGTGATCCCCCCCTCCCACCCACTCTGGGTTAAAATTCCAGAGAACCATCCAACCAAAATCCTTTGCATGAAGGACAGGTTGCCTGACGGGATAACATCTCATCAGCAGCAACGGCCCCTAGTTTGAATAGTCGAGGCTTCCGCTTTGACAGAACCCCTGTTAGCACAAGCAAATTCCTGTTTTAGTTATAAGGCTTTGTTTACCATTTCCAGCAATGTGTTTTGTATGCAGGAATGGTGTTACCTAGCAAGGGACAATGTCTTGCACTTGCGCAGGACTCCACCCTTAGTTAGCTTCTTGATTGGTTGGCCATTCTGCACCCAGATTTTTTTTAAATAATCTTATGTGGTTAGTATAAGTGCTATGACAGACTTAATTTGTATTTCCATTGACCAGTGTTCTGTTATTTACTACTCTAGCACCATATAGTGATTGCTTTACGTATCAATTGGTTTTTCCAAGCAATGGGAGAGCATTGGTCATTACCTTTATGCTATGAACTCAGTTATGGCCTAATATTAACGAGCCTGAAAACAGAGAAAAGTAGATAAAATGATTTTTATACTCACATCACCTAACTTTGAGTCCAAACTCTCAGCCATTGCTCTGATGTGGTCAGCGAAGAATGGAATCTCCATATCCTTGTGAATTTGCCTGTTACTAATGTACCAAGGTGTGTTAGACACAATACAAAGACACTTGGATTGTAACATTTGTAGCTTCTGGACATGGCTCCTGGAAGCTGACCTCTAGATCGGGCATGCATAATCCGTTTTAGTATAAGCATAGTTTAACTTCAAGTACTTTTATTTGTTTCAGACCAACTCTTGTCCTCTGTGTCGTCATGAACTACCAACTGATGATGAAGAATATGAAATGTACAGGAAAGAAAAACTGAGAGCTAAACAGCGAGAAGCAGAGTTAGAAACGTTACACAGTTCTATGTTTTCTTAACATGTGACGTGAAATATAGTAAACTGCTATACAAGATGCATATACTTTTAATATGACAGTGACTTCTCCAGGGCTATGCAAAATGAAATATTGCTAGGTTGGGAATGGGTCATATCATCATGTTGTTAAGACTTGATCTTGAAAGTATCCTTTGGGTGTAAAGTAGCTCATACGCAGAAGATAATTTGTGACATTCTCTGCATTGTTATTGGTGTATAGAGTTTTATTTTGCTGCTATGTGTGATGTGTTTTTTGCATGAAATGCCGCTCTTTAGATGGACAGTTATTGTTTATTACATGATGTTCATGTCTTCTGTAAGTGATGCTGTTTTTGTAAGCTGGTTTAACTATATAAATAAGTCTCCCAACTACATAGTATGAGCAGTTACTGCAACTTGTACTTGGGAGATGCCTGGTATGAACTTTCAGTGTGTTATTGACTACCCTGGTGTGTTTTGTGTGCTTTTCTTCAGTCTGTCTAAGTGAGTGCCAAGGTAGTACTTAAAACCAGGCTATGATCACCTCCTGCTATATCCTTGTTTATCTGCCATTAATACCATTTTCCTGTCACATTTGACTCTATGTCCTCTGCAGCTGAAATAACAATATTAAAGATTGTTTCTAATCTGTTAGCAGTATGAGTAGCAGAGTACTGTAACATGATGTGGATTCTTTTAAGAATAAAAGGTGTCTGTTAACGCTTATAAAGTTGAAAGAAACAGCCATTTATCTTCAAATGATGTTTTACATGTGAAATAAGAAAATTACTGCAGTGAATACTTACAACTTTGTTAGTAGAGACATTACTTCCACAGTGGTTACAGTACCATGACTTGATTGCTACAGCTTTGCTCATGACAATGGTATGCACACGAAGATTTCATTGGCAGTAGGCTTGGAGCAGCGAGGTGCAGCAGGGCTAATCATGTGACTCCACCCACTAGCCCTATTGGCAGCCAAGAATGACAGCAACTTGTCCAAGCAGGTATATATATATATGTGTGTGTGTGTGTGGATGTTCTGGGCTCAACAGACATTCCCTGATGATGAGGAGCTAGATTTTGAAATGTCAATTTTTATGGCAACCTGACACTGCTGATTGCCTGTGAAGACTTCATTCATTGGAGTCTATTCTTAGTTGGACCTCTTTGGAGTTAAAGACATGGTGTGTTACAGAGTGTAATTTGTTTCAAATATGTTTACAATTTATTAGTTACATATAATAGTTTCAAGCACTTTAAGAGAACCACCTGAAGATGACCAGTTAAGGTTGAAACATGTAGTGGATCTTAATCAAAAATTGTTGTATATATAGTCTTTCAACCTAAGGATGACAATATGTTTAAAAGGACTGCAGAGTTAAGGCAGCTCGTGTGGAAAACCTGATCTGAGAGAACAGATGGGTAATGATGAATGCAAACATTTCCATCAGTACAGTATACCATAATACTGATAATGCATTGGATATCGCAAGGTGCTTGCATAACAGAATGCATTGTGAATGGGACTCAGTCTTACGCAGCTGCAAAGGTACTTGAAGAAAAGTCATAAAGGTGTTGTTGATGTCATTTTCTGACACAGTATTCTGGGAACTGAGAGTGGCTTTTACCAATGAAAGTAATCCTTCATCATAACAGTGCCCCCCTCCATTATAGCCTGAATCAAAATGCAACTCCTGGAACAATTTTGCTGGAGTTATCTTGCTCATTCATCTTACAGTCTGTCAACCACTGAAGAATCACTTTGAAAACACTTGTGTTTTGATGAGGTGAAAAGGCTCTTCTGGGTGAAACACTCAGCCCTGATCTCTTCTCCTTGGCACTCAAGCAGGTTATGTCACAAGGATCTTGAATTTCAACTTGTGGCCAGTTTTGCAAGTTGTTTGGATGTTACTCAAGTGTGATGTTTTATTCCCAAGCTGTCTTAATTTGTAGTGTATACATGTTGGATATTATAATTTCTCTTAGGTATATTTGAAAAACAATGTTGGCTGAAGTTGGCTGTACTCGTCTGGTGTTTTAATAGTTGGCACAGTGGACTAGTATCCAAGATGTCTAGGTTTGAACCCAGCCATTGCCACTAATCTTAAATCTGAGATTTCAAGTTCTCACAGCAGTGTGTATGAAGATGGCTTGCCCTCATGATGGAGGCAGCAAGCACATCTAAAATGCCAGAAATATTCTGTCAGACTGCATGGTGCAGCAAACCACAAGACAGCCATATTTTTACATACCATCATGAGAACCTGAGATCTCACGTAGTTAACTTCTATTGGGAGGCTACTCTTCACTATGTTTGGAGATTTGAAGCCTTTGAATAAATAAAGCCAAAGACTCTTTTCCCTGCCCTTACTGTGACACAGGGGCCAAGGCACAATCCCATGCTTCCTACAGTTCCATAATCACATCCACGCTGAGGCCGGCAAGACAATCTACCAAGGGACCAACTTCAGGCTACTCGGCACATCCACCATGCCCAGTGTGAGCTGGATGCTCATGTAATGTGGTCTGGGTTCAAATCTGACAGGGAATTTGACTAGCTGAGAAATTGTTAGCTACTCAAGGAAACTTTGCACTGTTGGATTCATTTGGTTTGGCTGGGGTTGTATTATATACATGGTCACTTTTCAAAATACTTTTATTAAATGGAATTACAACATTCACCTTAAAGGACAACTGCTCAGTACAAAGTAATTCATCATCTAAGACAAAAGAGTACTCTACATTTATTCCTTCATAATAGGTTGCAGTTTTTCTAATCTTGTGCATTATATACTATCTGTTCTTCAGAGTTTTCTAAAAGTACATTTCACAAGTGGCATATAATTAGTGGAGTATGAGAGACTTCTTGTTGAATAAGCTTGCCATTGTTATCATTGGCTATTATTAAAGCATCAAATATTTTCTCTTTTGTTCGACCTCTAGTGCTGAAGCGACTAGCAGATCAGATGGGTATGCCTTGAAGCTTTTTTGTCTTGGATGGAAGTGCTATGGAGCATTTTAGTCATTTCTTATATGTAAGTGATTTGAAATTGTCTGACCTTGTAAATTACTATCGTATAAACCATATGTGCATTGGTATAGAAAATCAAATTTCAATTCCATATTCAGAACAGCTGCTTACACTGATTTTCTCATGGTCTTTGAAAAAATTTTCCCTGTCCTGACAGTAACTGTGACCCAGAAACAAATTAAGCACATTCTGGGACAAATGCTATTAGTGTGATGAACTAGATTATGTTCTAGTTTTTAGAATTAAGATAGACCATCATCACAAACTACTGGATAAGGTATTAACAACATTAATATTTTATACTCTACACTGATTTCACGTGTTTCATTTCCTTCACATTCTAAAATATTTACAGTTTTCATGAAATAAATTCCCTGCAAGCCAGAAATGTTACAGATTATAACAAGCTTTTTAAAATGAGTTACACATTCAATATTCAATATACAGCATAGGGAATGTACCATTTTATAAAACATTCAGTTGTGGACGAAGGAAGAATCATACTCCATCAATTTATTCCCAAGTATAACAAAGTTATAATTGTATTTATTTGGATCAGTTTAGGTACACTTATGATATGTGGATATCTTTGGAACTGGAAGACTCAGTACACAGTGGCTGGGTTATAAAAGGAAAAATGCAATGCAGAGCTAAGGTAAGTTTGTGCAAAAAGAGACGTTTCAGTGACTGACTTAGGTATGAAGGGAAACAAAGTTACTAACAGAAAATGAGCCTGGAAAACAGTGAAGGCACTGTATTGCAACGACTTGGATGAGCAAAAGTGGTTGACCGCGAAGTGCTATTGGAAAATCGAATGCATACTTTAAGATTTATACCGAATTTGACTACAGAAGAGAAAATTTCAAAGCAACAAGTGAACACCATTTGGTTTGACATCATATGAGAACAGGAAATTTAAATCCCTGCAGTAAGGGACTGCCAACTGTACTGTACGATTAATGGTTGGGTGGCAGTATGCTTCTGTGACATGGCCATCTGGCTCCCACAGCCACGATGCACATCTGATAAGGTTTAACCTGGGAATTTTAAGATACTAGTGTTGTGCACATACACATGCTGCCTGCTAGGGTAATTTAAAAGTTGGAACAATGAAAACTAAATGTTTATGGCCACACTACACCTACAAGCAGCTGGGGCATAAGTGATCGTGTTAATGTTTATTATGTAATGAATTCAAAAATGGACTCTTTTGTTCATTCATTCATGTAACGGATCTGCCCATCTTGAATGAATATATACTACATACATGTTCTGGTAGAGAAACTGTAGTAATAGATCATAATCGTAAGGTATTCCAGAAATGTGCATCACATTATGTCTCTTATGGCATGCTGCAACCTACAGGGTGTTCAAGAAGTCACTGTTTTTCTGTGTTATTTTATTTCAATAATTACAATAACTTTCATGGTACCTATCTATGAATTACTGACCACAGCATGATACAGTTAGTGTGTTCAGTGATGTTATGAGCCATGGCCTGAATCCATTTACTTGATCATTATTAACAGCAGATATGATTTGCATTCAACTAAGGAGCACTTACTTGCCAGTGTTGGGTACGTGGATTACCACACGTGTCAGACAGTGCAGCAAGGTGAGCAATGGTTTGGGAAGTCACCTTGGAAAGCAACTGCTGTCATGGGAGGAATATGTGTTTTCAATGGCAGCTATGAAAGATTCTCATTAAAGTGGTTGTCCATTACTGAAACCACAACATGCGGCAGTATTTCTGCATCCATCGAATGTTCACTGCACAAGTCCATAAGTAAATGGGCAGCAAGACTTCAAGTACGTTCAGCATGTTTCATCATGTGAAGGACCTGGTATGAAGGCATTTTGGCCAGCATTCATAAATGAACTTGGTCACCAGAATAGAAGTCAACATCGCACAGCGTGTACTTGTCTTTTGGAATGTTTCCAATGGCTGTCTCTCAAGAATATGTTCTGTTTTATGACCAGTGTGCAATTTACCATAGTACCCAAATCCATAATGTTGTGTTCTGGACCAAAGAGAACCCTCATTTCGCCATCAAATTGGAAAACAACCCGCCGAACATGATGCTGAGGGGAGGTTTAAGTGCCAGTCACCACTTGGTCTGCATTTCTTTGAGAGACCTATAAATCTTGTGATGTTAGCTATTATCAGAACTGAGAAATGAAATGGGTGCGGTTCCAGTAAGATGGTCCACCGCATGAATTTCTCAGGCATTTCATGACTAGTGGATTGGTCAGGGATCTGCAACCATCTCCACGCCTGGCTTCGACAGGACCTTACCCTCAACTGACAACAGGCTTTAGGGAATCATAAAATGCTGCACCTTGGTACATCACTAATGACAGGTTACAGGCCACTGTAGATGAAACCTCTGCATCCATAACACTGCATGGAGGATGTCTTGAAGGACCTGGCAATACATTCAGCTCTGATAATCATGAAGAGACTCACATACATCCACTGGATCCGTAAACAGGTAAGAGTGCAATGACTTTTTAATACTAAACTAGGAGGGCTCCATGAAAATACTGCAAGTATTGACAGTGAAATAAGATGGTATGGTGACTTATTGGACAACCTGTACATTAGCATGTCAAATGTAAGGAGAAGCATGTTAATTCTAGTTGAAGAAAATAGTATATAGTATAGTATATTATCTAATGAAGAAAAAAATTTGTAAACTTAATAAATTGTCATAATTTACCCTTGGGTGACACTGTCCTTGCTATGCCAGTAAGATTTAGTCTTACTATTGTTCATTAGATAATGAATGTTTTGATGTAGAAGCATAACAATGGCAGTCTTTGTTAATTACCTGGCCATCTTTAGTACAAAACAAAAGTTTGCGTATATCAGTTGTGTGAAGAGATTCTTTCTTATCTTCCTGAGAACTGGATTGCATTGAACACCTTTCTATTTCTTTGTCATAAGACTTTTATTAATGCTATCAGGTATATTAATTTAAAGTGCCTTTTGAAATACATCCAGGCTTAGAATAGTGCAAAATGCCTTATAAGCATTTGTCTCTTTCAGAGTAAAATTAGTTCTGACCTTTCCACTCACAGCTGCTTGAATTAATTATGAAACTGCGCCATAAATGTTTTCTTGCAGATTACTTCTTTAAGTAAACAAAATTGGAGAGTTTTTCTCTGTGGAGTACACTAAAATGTCCAAAGGTGTTCTTTATGCCACACTCTGTGGGTGTGACAGGAAATTGTCAGTAGTAATACTGTGATTATTATTATTTTAAAAGGATCCTGGGTTTGATCCCAAGTGTTGCCATATGTGATATGATCTTTGCAAGGGTGGGGAGTATGATGCATGACAGCTAGAACTTGATAAAGTCTTTATTTCTTACAAGATAATTACTATTGGTCTTCGGCTTTGTCCCAGTTTGCCATAAATAGCTACTAAAATTGTCAAAACTGACTTCAAGCAGATGCCAGTTTTACTTCTACATTGGCCATATATAAACATACTAAGACAAGAATGAATGAAACAAGGTCGGATGCAGCAGAAGACCGTGACTGTTTCCCAAGAAAAAGAGTCGTAATTAGGTGTCACATGAATAGGGTACTACGATTTTTACTTTGTCGCCACATACTCAATTCATAGAAATGTATCTATTTTATCAATGCATATTTTACGAGCACTGTTGAACAAGCAAGATATTTACAAATTAGTATCTAATTTGTAAGCAATGAAGCTTACACAATGCTCTAGTAAGCCTTCATAAGCTTTATTCCATTTATAAAATACTCTTCCCCATTATGGTTTAAAAAACTACATTTAATCTGTACATCCCTGAATCTAAAACTGCATTTTTCACTACTGCAGGGAGAAGGAAGGATATCATAAAATAATGTGAAGATTCATATCACCTTCCAAATTTATTTTATAAATCACATGCTTGATGCACATGTGATGTAGGTATGCTGCTAAAACACTATTAATATGACCCAGACGCATGAGGCCCATCCTGGGATTGGTTTCATGGCCACACCAAACAGCATTGTGTATTACGTTTGATAATTTCTAAATGCATAGGCCAAGCAGAGAATGAAAACAATTCTCAGCTACCTAATGAGATGAGGCTACAGTTCTCTCTCCAGAGTACAAGCATAAATAATGACAAATGACGACTTAATGCAACTATAGTATTATCATAAGTAAATATAAGTTTTATTGCTGAACAAAAAGATTCATAAGTATTTTTATCTTAAGGTGGTATTTAAACATTACCAAATAACCTAAATGCATTTACAATATGGAATATTTAATGAGGCGGTTTCTCATTTTCATCTTCATCCTTGCGTTCTCACCCCTTGTCAGTGTTCAAAAAGTTAATTCTCTTCTGAAACTGGTTCTTGCACATTCTATTTTGTATATTCCACAAGCACACCACAACATCGGCTACATCAATTAAATATATGCACACATACACAATGAATTATATAACCAATATATGAAATGTTATGACTGATGTTACCAGTCATAACAGTATTCAAGTATTTCATGTTACCAGTTGTAATCAACCAGAAATTTATGCAGTCTTGTGAACTTAACCTGAAGAACTTAATATACTGATACAGCTCAGCCATATTCCAATCTAAATTAAAAATAAAAAAGCTGCAAGAAGAAAATTATTGTTGTGTTTTGTAACTGGTTTTTGCAACATTTTTTTTTTTTTTTCATTTCTAACCTACCATCTAATTTCAGCTTACATTAACATGAAATCTGAGCCTTAAGTTCTATAAAATGAGAACGTAATTGTGTGTGTTCTAGAGAATGAAAGGAGGGATCCTTCCCAGTATTTAGAATTGGAAAGTCATTATATCAAAGGTACATAAATAGTGTATATTTAAAATCACTTATCACGATCCACTATGTCCTGCCCTTTGATCAAGAATATTGCCCCATAAAGTCTTTGCTAATTTCTTTTTTTCTCGTTGCTGCAAGACTTCAGGGTGACTGTCTTTCCGTCGTCGATTCTGGAACCAGTAATCAACATTTTGTCGTGTGGGACTTGCGCCGGTTGGACACATGGCTGCTAGTGCATCTGCATAATGGCGCATGGCTTGGCCAGTGGGATATCTGTCTGCAAGGTACCAAGACTCCAGTTGCAGGATTTGATCATGATTCCATAGTACTCTGTGTCGGAATGGTCGATTACTAAAACTACTGAGACTGTGATTATTTGGGCTTTGCTGCTGACGAGGTAGCACGGAATGACATAAACCTGAAAATGAAGTTTTTTTTAATTTTAAAGCTAAGGTTCACGGACTTTCACTTGAAAATCATATCCATCTATATTGACATCTGAAAGATCCACACATCTATTACCTTGATTAATTGTGAACTGGCTGGAAGGCCTAGAATCCTCCTGAAGGACAGGTAAAACTAGCTGACTGATGCCATCCAGTGTAGAAAGCTGGATATATTGAAAAGAAAGGAGAAAACGGGAATAGAATATTTGAACATGCAACTGAACAACAGTTGCTTACATATACTTAAACTCTAATCTCATTTGCCATCATCTACAAAATTCTAACCCTGTGCACCATCCTGCTACCACATACCACACACTCACTGAAACCATGACAAGATCTTTAAAAGTGTATGGTGAGATGTTCAGCCCATGACAGTATGAACTGATATGAATGGTTTGGTCTCTTGAAGGCCCGTATTTAAATTTCATCTCTACTCAGAATAACTGAAAGGTTTTAAACTAAATGAGTGTATAACTTTGAAAGATGTGGCTGCCAAATGTATACCTTGTTCCCAGGTTGTTCTAAATGTGATCATTCTGACACAAAAACTTAAATGAAAAAATCAACAATTCCTATGTCAGTATAAGTCATGTGGATGGAGGAAGGATGGTATACCTTTCAGAATCCTGATAGCCTTTAATATAAAGCTATAAAACAGGAAGTCCATACAAGCAATGACTGAGCAACAGCACAGTTTCTAAACTGAGTCTAATAAACAAGGAATTCAATACATAATTTACTCAGAGTCATTCCGTTTCAGTTCTTCAGGGTTTGTTGTGTGATATGTGCATGCCCAAGTTGAAGATAAAAGTCATTATGTAAAAAAGTACATTCTGTATTAATTTATATTTATCAAACATTGTCTCACATTTCCTGAGTTTTCTCAGGTATGAGAAATATTAAGCCAAGTTTCTTATTTGCATGGCTAGCCAATGCAAAATCCTCAAATTGGCAGAATTATGGCAGTGAGCAGAATAATAGGTGTTTAGGAAAGACCAAACACTCTCTCCCTCACCATGACCACTAGAACAAACCTCCCCACCTCACCACTGATACTGACTGTACAGCAATGAGAAAATATGGTATTGTTTCACCACATCTTCTGTAGACCCTCCTAAATTATCACCCCCCCAAAAAAAAAGACACAGAGAGAAGACAACAACCTAGTTCACACGTCTGCATTTATGTAAAATTACATTGCACAGATAATCTGCAAATCAGTAATCCACACAAGGATAATCAGGACTCTATTGTACTATAATAGTAACAGCAGTCCCCACTTAATGGTACCTACACCTTGTCGTGGTGGTGCGGCTTGAGTACCTCAGTGACCCCAAGAGCTACTGGTAGGGCCTCCCTAACCAGATTGGTCGAGGGGGAGAGGTCAGACTAAGACAGGTACCCTGGTCCTCCAGGTTGGGGGTTGGTCGCAAGGCTAACAACCTTGCACCGTAAAAAGGAAGATGTTTCGAAACCTCAATCAAAGGCTCGGACAGACGGACTCCGAATGGAAGAGGAGAAATGAGGAGGCCATGGACCGAATACGGACCGGAGAGCCATAGAAGAAGAAGAAGGAAAGATGCCCATGATGTGGGTAAGATTATACCCCACAATCCCAGCATTTTCTGAAGTAAAGACTATGTGTAAAGGTATGTCAAGGGTAGTAAGGTGGTGACTGATATGAATAGGGCAATTGCAGAAATTAAACCATACAACTTATGTGAACAGCTAAGATATTAATGAAAACTCTGTTCTTAAATTTTAATATTAACCCTGAAAGGCCCCGCATGTCTTTTAAAGATGTGGAATTAGTATCCCTAGTTGGCCCACCACAGACTTTTAAGACATGGCATGCATTGTATCATGTAACATAGCTTTGTGATCATTATTTTGGGTTATAATCCATTATAACAATGTCACTGTGCTCTAGAAGGATGGTCCTATAACATTCATAAACTTTGTCAAAAGGGCCTCATTCCCCTCTTTTACAAATATTTTTACTTTACTTCCCTTGACAACCAACAGCTAAGATTTGTTGGTGGGAATTACCCCCTTATTTTCAGCTAAACTCTGTAACTTTCAAATAAACACTGAGTACAAGGCTGAGAAGTATTTTAATAACTTGATCTGAAAGTGCTCAACTGAAGTGCTATTTTCACACATGTTCTAGAAGGGTTCATGTTATTTACTGGTACACTAATATGTGCCTGCTCTGATTTAGTGGTTAATTTCACCGTGGCTTTGTCACTGGTTTGTGGTCTGCTGTTATGGTCAGTTGTCCACTGTGTACTTGCATTAATTTTCTTATTTATGTAACATAATTTATTATGATTGTTATTTCACAGTGTATAAACAAACTGATCTCAGTGAAGTGACTTACACATCACTTTGTACAGTTTACAAATAATCCACTTCTGGTCTATTCCAGTTGCTAGTAATACTAGCTTTATCCGACGTGCCTCAAAGGGCAAGTGTTCTTCCTGTAACCTGAAGGAGATGAGCCAGCTTCCATAATGTCATATTTTCTATGCAGGTAATAAATAATGCCGAAATAAAAATACACCCATGATGATACCAAATTAATGTCAGAAGGCCTTTAAATCGAAAAGTCCAGGACCAACAAAACTTCCGTATTAGACAAGTTTTTATGCAATAAGGAAAACCCCAAATCTTAGTGATGTACAGTACATATAGAAAATCTTCTCTTCTACATATCACACAACATCTAAAACATTTTGACCTATAATATCTCAAAATGAAGACATTACTGTGTTCCGCTGCATGCAAGGTGAGAGAACAAGTCATGCAGCCAACGTGCGACCATGTCAACTTACCGGAAGACTACCTTCATCCCTCTGTTGTATGTTGTCAACTAGCAAAATCTGGGGCTCAGTTTTTATCCGCTTAGGTTCAGGTGGTTTTCCTGTATCATTTGTTGATTCAGTACTTGCAATGTTGTCTGCAGAATTACTGTCTTCCCCAGCTGTTACTTCTTGTGACAGTGGTTCCTCTATATCCTATGTAATAAAGATAAAATGTAAGGCACAGCTGCATTTAGGAGGAGAGAGAGTTGGAGTCTGTCTTCTCTCATCCCTGAAATGTTTGGGATATGATAAGTAATAACAATTTGTGGAACTCAGTGTTAAGGGTTCCATACACAATCAGTTAAAAGTCTGTAAGTTAACTGTGTGACATAATGACTTTTCTAAGATATGAGTAAACTGTGCAGTCCATACATCTGAATGGTTAAGTATTTGAACTGAGCAAATCTGTCATCATTTCCTCAGTAAAATGCACAGTGGAACTGATGTGTAGTGAGGAAGTGCAATTAAATGCTAATTCCTTCAGCTGGTAATAAATAAGAAAAAAGCTTTGTTTTAGTTCCTGAATGTTATCAGAGTTTGCCTATAGTATGGGATATAAACCATGTGGCTTATAGTATTTGGCAAGCATGAGACATATAATGAACAAGTGTAACAACAGTGTTATAAGGGATGCTGTGCTTTGAAAAATAAACTTTATGCACTCAGCATTTCACAGCTGAGCAATGAGAGACTTTTAACAACTGGGTGCCTCAGCAGGTAATGTTTACAAACCACTGTTGTGGTAATTCGACAAACTTCTGTTCCTTGTAGACCAAGACACTCCTGATCAAAGCACATATATCCTATAAGAGGAAAATTAAGCTATGACTGCAGAATGCACAGCTTATTTGTTATGTGTGTGAGCAACAGAGACTGGCTGCTCAGTTCAGTTAATTTGTGCATTTATTTAGCGCAGTATAATTGTACATTTTAACTGATTATCTATGGGGCATTTTACAGTTTACTTCCTGATAATTTGCTAATCTCACCCTAAAATTAAATTCCATCTGTGGTCATATAGCCTGAAATTATATTACAAAAAGTAAACAAATAAGTGCCAACATAAAAAATACACTTTTCAAGATTTCAGCTTACCAGGATATGATGAAAAATAAAATTACAAGATGATGTTGGTATATTTTCCATACTAGAACTAGAGAAGTGGCTACATCATCTACAGAGAAAACATAAGATTCCTAAAAGGGGCTTCTGATTTAAACTTAGGAAGATGGCCAAGGAAGCCAGAACAGACCATACACTTACTCCACCAAGGATTATTACATGTGAAAAGTGTCTCCAGGTATCAGATCACACTGTACATGAGCAGCCAACAAAATATTTCCCATGGCTGAGACATAATACAGTAAAACACACATATAGCATACTTCTGGTCATACAAATGTTCGGACTTATTTTATTTATATATATATGTTTCTCATACATGGTTCATAAAGTAAAATTCAAGGCATCTGACTCAGTTTATTTTTGCTTTATTTACAATTTTGTGGTCATTCTGGATATATGACACTGAAATACAAGTTCTGATTTATAATGCAAACTGTAATGTGAATTATTACAATAGTAAATAATAGTGAAGAGAAATATCCCTGTATTATATATACTTATCCTTCATGTAATTCCCTTTATTATCTTAACTGAATTGCTTCTCTTTTTAAGGAATGGCAGGGCAGTGGTTCATACAAATAAATATGGTGTATAAACACAAGTGTGTTTAATATATTCTGTAGTGCAGCACCTTGCTGTGTTGTTTTGTAACCATAAAATGAAAGAAACACTTGGGTTTTTAATGTCGGCACAGTAACTGCAGAGAACACGTCAACCACGTGTGGCTGAAATGTGTAGTTCAACATAAGAAAACAAACATCAAATGTTTAGTAGATTCATATCCATCTCTCATTTATTCCCTTGGATTATACCCTTGACATCTGATAATGCTTGTGATGCACACATGCATGGTTGTAACTATGGATAAGTGAGAGTACCTAAATCCCAAAGCTACAGCAAGGTGAAAATGCTATTATGTATGTCTTCACTATGAAGAAAGTATATTCATTTGTTACTTAATGACACTGTGAATTTCAGATGGTACTTAGCATCAAATAAAAAGGACAAAAATAGTACAGCTGCAATGAAATGGAGAAGATAGCAGGTATATGTTTCAAGGCAGTTTTGTGGAAGAATTAACCAGCCATGAAGAACCTTCACCAGAGGTCACCAGTCCAGGATAGAGGCTCAAATTGGTTACCTTCTGAATGCAGACTCAATTTGTGGTGCTCAGTAATGAGGTAAACACAGACTGAATAGTAACTAATGTGATATGAATGCAGTACTGCAGTTCACAGCTACTCTGTGTTTCTCATGGCTTGAAAATTATGTAACTATAGAAAATTAATTATGCACAACTAATGAAACTGCCATCAAAACAGCTTGTAAGATGTAAAATCTGAAAATAATTCAAAACACAATTGTACACCTTATAAATTTGTACTTTACTTCAGTATCAGATATGCAAAATAACAATAAAGTACAAGTGATGTGTGAATTAGTTAAATGAGCTGCTTCTGCTGCTGCTGCTAATGAGTGTTCAGTTGTTCAAGAAATTCTCTTTTCTAAAAGAACCTGAGAGTCCAACATCACCATTCAAATTCCACCTATGCTTGTCTTCCTAGTGGCCCTATTCTGCAAGGTCTCCCAGTAATGTATATTCCTTTTTTCTCTCTCAAGTGGGCTATATAACCTAAACATTTCAATCGTCTCGATTTTAATCATTTTAACAATACTAGGTAAAGACGAGGTTCATGGTATTGTGCAGATAGATGTGCATATGGCTGAGCCATTAGTGCCAGAACCTAAATATAAATCCCCGGTTACTGATCAGATTCCAGCAGAACTGATTAAAGCAGTAGGCGAAATGTTCGTGTTCCGAGATACAGAAACTTATTTGCTGTATATGGAATGAGGAGGAAATTCCACAGCATGAGAACTAATAATTGTACCAGTTCATAAAACGGGTGATAAGACTGATAGTAATGGTTATCGAGGAATCTCCCTCTTATCATCCGCCTACAAAATTTTATCAAATATTCTTCTGGCAAGGCTCACTCCATACATCAATGAAATTATTGTGGATCATCAATGTGGGTTCCGTCATAATAGATCTACAACTGATCATATTTTCTACATTTGCCAGATACTAGAGAAAAATTGGGAGTACAATGACACAAATATCAACTATTTATAGACTGTAGGATTTGAGGTTTTCATGGCGGTGAGTCTGAAGATGGCTCTCTTCTGGGTTGTTGCATCATGTAGTCAGTAGACGTTAACCGACGTTTCAGAGGTCCTTGCAGCTTCCATCATCAGGGCAACAGACTTCAAGAAAGCCTATTACTCAGTTAAAAGAGAAGATCTTTACAATATTTTGCTTGATTTGGTGAACCATATCATTATGTATCTTTCAAATTTAGGACAATCACAAATAAAATAACATTAAGACTGTATTTAATTACTCTCCTAAAAATAAGGCAGGTACTTTATGATGAATAGTATGAAATATACTATTACTGTTTCATTTTATATTGTTAAATTTTACAGTTTAAATATGAATATTAGTCTCATTTCCTATGCAAGTCAACCCACAAGTGTAGAAATGACTTAAGGAAGAAGAAGTCATATTTCCTCCTATTTCAATGTGTTAGAAATATCTGTAGTATGTACATATTAACAACAGTATGACATGAGAAAGGGAAAGATGGTATAAACTAGTTATCCAAGAGTTTCAGTTGAAACTTCTAATGTTTTAACTGACTCTAAGATATTTCTCTTCAGAATACATGAAATCATTGTACTTCCTTTCCCATATTTTATATTGTGCATTACATCACCTTTGTCCTCTGGGAAGATATCACCTCATGTATAGGCACTACCCTGTTTGTGAGGCCTCGAATATGTAGAGTCTCTGCAGTTTTTAAGAAACCAGGCAGCGAGTCATTATTCATGGTAACCTCCCCATGATACATGAACTTTACTAGAGCTTTTAACTCCTCGAACCTGACATCTTTGAGAATTACAATAGGATGTGGATGGCCACTCTCCTGAAACAACTCCTGGGAGAAAGAAATGTGATTAAACCATAGATCTTCTTTCATGAAATGAACAGTCATTCAAAACAATTCAGTGTACTGTATATTGTATATAATTCACTCATGGTGCATTCTGGATTTTAAGATTCAACTACAGCAACACATAAATCCCATAATTACAAATCTTCAAATTTAACACCAAATGTGATGGAATAATCATATCATAACTGAAATAGGACATGGAACTGATTATGCAGCATGTCTTATTCACTGATTAATTATATATAGAAAATGTGCAATAGTTCTAACCTGAAAATAGCTAGAACATGCAGATAGAATTGCTCTGTGGGCCCGTAGAGAACGTCCATCACATGCTAAAGTGACATCAACAAGAAGTTCCTTCTCAAGTAGTGAACGTAAAGCCTCTGTTAATTGTTCTTGGTAACTACTCCAGCGCAAACAGAATTCCTGGTTGGCACCCATTTCTTTAAAATTAGTAAACGTTCGCTGTAACATAAGATAAATATACCAGTAATACAATGCAACACTCTGAATAACTCCTACAAAATAAATCCATTGTTTATGCCAACATAAAGAATGCAAGCGTTTTTAAACAGATTCTAACAATATTTATAAAAAGAAAATCCTTCATAATTTGCCCAACAAAAACTGTATTTATCAGTTATTATTTTACATACATATGCCATGAAAAGTTCCACTTTGTCTCCCTCTTGATTTTGCATAGAGCAATACTTTCTGTAGGGGCTGAAGCTAACTTGAAACAAGTATCAATACGTGAGAAGTAGTTACTTTCTTCTCCCTTACAATCGTGCAAATGCTAAAAATTAATCACGGCTTGTTACTATGATCCAGACTTAGTTGCTTACATCTCTCTGTGCGCACTTCATCGCAACAAACATATAATAGGGATCTTAACAATTAAACTTCATGGAATACTAACATCTACTCGCTCTGTATAGTCCACACCGCAACTCGAAAATCAAAACAAACAGACTCCACCCACCACTTCTTCTATTTTTCTTTTCCTAACCTTAATTCCAAGTCCACAACAGAAATGTACACCACTATGACGTTACACTATTGTAATTTATATCTGCCGTACTTATGCTTTCTAATACTGCAAGTGCCCATATATGCTTCACGATAAATTATGCTTGCTTATGATCAGCTGTTTTCAAGCAGTCATTTTGGAGCACACGATCGCAAGGAACAATTCCCGACAGACGCTTCCTACAGAATGATCTTGCGTGCATGTTATTAGCATATAATGGAAATAAAGTGTCAGTGCAAGTACTGAAGTGTAGTAACTGACGGCCGCATCAGCTAATATGCATGAAAATTAGTGTTGGGACAAATGAGAGGATAAATTTGTATGTCAGTAATTGACGTGACGATTTCAAGGATATAATATTCTACGGTCTAAGACATTTGGAATTAATTTTTGTCACTAGGTTATCGGAACATCTTTTCAAAATCCATGCACTGCATTAGAAGATTGTGCATGCATTATATGTAACACCTCCCCCCCTCCATTTGAGTGCCAGCATTATACTGTCCGCAAGATAACACGGAGTTTTTAAGGGTTCATGTTGTTATTATGTGTGTTACAGTTTGGCTAGTGGGTCTACGTTCCGTAAAATCAAGATACGGTTTGTTTATATTTTCAAAAGGTTTGCATTGTGCACAATGTAGGATTTGAGGTTTTCACGGCGGTGAGTTTGAAGATGGCTGTCTTCTGGGTTGTTGTACGATGTAGTGTGATAGAAGTTTACCGACGTTTCAGGGACTGGTGATGGAGGTAGCAAGGACCTCTGAAACGTCGGTAAACTTCTACCAGACTGCCTTGCACAACAACCCAGTTGACAGCCATCTTGTTACAGATGGCTTTTGCTTTCAAGTAGTAAATCACAGGATGCAACTGATCTGAATTTGCGAAGTCTTGCATCAATAATAATTCAATAAAATTGCAGGACGTTGACACATATATTCAAAATCAGTATTTCTAGGATATCAATTTGAAAAGTGGAAATTATATAATTTATACAAGCGATGATTCCTTTGTATTTTCGCAACAATTCCTGTAAAATGGGGGTCACATTTACAATAAAATTGGGGCTGCATGATTGCTGAAAAATTACCCTGTTATGGCACAGCTGTCACCTGCACATCTCCCATCTCCTACTCCATAATGAATTTACCTCAACCAAAAATTCTCAGGTAATGTAAACACGTCAACAGCTGTGGTGATACTTTGTTACGTAATTATATTTACGGTAATACTGTAGTTAACTGAAAATCACTAACAAACTGTCATTTGTATTTGTATTAGAAGCAAGTATTATATTTGTGCTATGACATGTTCGTCATCCCTGGTTTAGCCCTTTGAATGATCTGTGGAATGTAAGTAAATTTTATTCAATTTTTTGACACCCATGGTGAGAACGAACCATAAAATAAATTACAAACTTGTGCTCACAGAATACCTCAATGACCGTCACAATTTTAATTACATTTTGTGTGGTAACACTGTCGTAGTAGGTTTCTATTGTGGTTTGTATATGTTGGTAAGCTGTAGTATCAATTTCGTCCGTAGGCTGGCTGACAAAGTTAAGGTTTCGTTGGTAAGACACGATCTATGTGTCTGGTCAGTGTTACTTGCTTTTGTTATGTAAGTTTATAATTATAAGATTTTTATTAGTGTTTGAAGAATGGCAGATAATTCCGAATTATTTCGGAACATAGTGGAAAGTATATTTAATACTTGGACTGCTTTAAGACTTGCAGTAGAACATGGTATGGGTGGACATCGGGGGAAAGAAATTGTGTTGCGGTTGGTGGACGAGGTTACGAATTTGGTCTGTAAAGGTGATATTGGAGCAGAAGAAATTGCTGATTTTCTGATAGAATTTATGGACACGGAGTTTCATACTGAGTGCGAAGACAACTCTCCGGATGAGGTGGCAACTGTATTGTGGCAATTCTATCAGCACTGCAAAGCAGGAAATCATAATGAAATAAATTTAGAATTGAGCAAACTTCCGAAATGCGAGGTGTGGCTGTGTAAACCTCTTCGTCCAATGAATACTCAAGAAGAAGCAATGGATTCAGAAGATGCAGTGTCAAGTGGACAAAGTAGTAATATTGCTGTAGGCGAACTTGATCCAGAATGGACACAGGTTAAATCCAAGCGAAGAAAGGAAAGGCTTTAATGTGATAAATAGTCTGGAAGGGATGTAGGATTTTTTTCAGATGTTATAGTGAGTGGTTTAGTTTTTTAAGCAAACTGTACTCTTCAAAATTATGCTAAGAAAAAATATATTTCAGAAGTAAATGTATTATGCAAATATAACTTGTTGTGTTTAGCTATTTTATGCTTATAGTTCTATATAAGTTTCTAATCCTGTTTGTGGATTTTTAAAATTGTGGTATATTTAATATTTCAAAATAACTTGTAGCAAATGATTGTTGGTTTAAGGTATGAGTTTATACAATCCCGGAGATAACATGAAATATTAAGTATTAATTTCCCTGAAAGGGGACCAAATGTTGTCTTGCTTAATTTTATATGAATGCCCCATAATTCTTACTGATAGTACTACATAGAAGTTTCATATTTATGTCTTTGCTGTCTGAACAGTTCATGATTAGTGAGAGCCAGACTGTGAAAATAAGTTTTGGGAAGAACTTGTGGTAATCTACTTTTCACCAAATGCTTCAGTTCACATGGAGAGACTGGCAAGAATATACATTAATAAGTGTACAAAATTTTAATATGATATAAGTTTTTACAGTGACTGACATTAATAAAACCTTACCTGGCTATTAGCCATGACAGTTTATTAAAAATCGATGTTTAAGGGATCAGCTGAATCTGTGTCAAGATTTGATGTAAGAGTCCATCCAGACAAGGCCACATATATGCTTAACCAGTGCCTGTGTTCGAAGCTGTGGATGAGCCAGTTGGGTCTAGTGGGTGTAGGCAAGTGCTGGCTTAGCTTGGCCTTGCGTCCAGATTGATGTCTTTGTATTGTTTGAGTGTGTTGGCCACTGGGTACCAGGACTGACAAAGTGAAACAACCGTCCCCATTAAAGTTTTTGGGGTGGAGCCTGATCTCAATAGCCTCTTTTATTACATGGCCCACGTATCTTGTGGCCTTATCCAGGTTGAATATTCTTTTAAAATTTATGGAATGTCCTGTATCAGATCTGTGCTCTGCCGTGGTAGAGTTATCTGGCTGGCCCAGTAATATGTCCCATGTGTTCTCTGCATCTGGTTTCAGTGCATTTGCCAGTCTGTCCAACATAGACTTATGTAAAATTTTAAGTTATGTTCTAATTGTATTTAATATCATTACCTATTAACATACAGTATTCCATGTCAATGTTTTGGAGAAAACACACTGTCCATATTTAGGGTCAAAGATAGAAACTATGTTTCTCCGAAGTGTTGACATCTGTCATTGAGTCTGCTTGGCATCAAAACCCAGAATGAGAACATCATTATCATCCTCATTGCCATGAAGACTTCAGATCTCATACAATATTTAATTTGTAATTATATTGATTATATCATTACAGACTCAACCCATGTTACAGCATATTTATGCTATCTTTAGGGGCATTATTGGCTAAAATCTGCTAACATAAAATTAAAATTATATTAACCTTTATGATGGCTGTCTTCTGAGTTTTTGCAGTGTTTAGTCTGTAGATCTTAACTGGCATTTTCATTGCTCTGGTGATGGAACCAGCAAGTGCCTGTGAAATGGTAAACTTCTACCAGACTACACGGCACAACCCAAAAGGCAGCCATGTGTATTTTGATCACTGTAAGAACCAGAGATCTTAGTAAAGTAAGCTAAAGATATGAATATGTTGGCTTCAATGAAATATTGTAGTTGACTGTTTTTTTCTTTTGTATTTGTTGCTTGTGTCAATCTTCTGTCTAATTTCTAGTTTGTATATTGCTATCTTGGATACTACTAGACTGTGTTTATTTCTGACCTCTGTCTGCTGAAATTATAAGAAGGTTTGGTTAATGTTTGTTTTAGGGTTTTTTCACATTATGATATTCAGAGCTCAACAAATCCCAGGCACCAGGTCTCCATGTCACATTGAAATCTTCTTGTGGCAGCTAATATTTTCACGTATGCTTTATATTGGATTTTGCTGTTTTGAAAACACAGATCGAAAATGAATGCACCATGGAACTGATCATCTCAGGCAGCAAATGATCTGGGCACCAAATTGTTTATTTCACGATTATTTGCAGTGATTATTGTTAGAGATTTTACTTTCGATGTCATTAGATGGTGCAAGTTTAGCTTGTGTGCTGATTTGAAGGTACAGACCGCTGTGTACGTGTGTTATTCAGTAAACTCATACAGAACGGGCTTGACAAATAATGATATATAGTACTGTGGTTCATATGCGTGTTTACCATCCATAACTGTGATTGTTTCTGTAGGTTATAATGTTTGTTTCGTTGTTTTACTTTTGTGCATAGTGCACTAAAGTTTATAGGAGTGAGCCCCATATCTAATATTTTACGTGATAACTGACCCGTATTCCCTTGAAATTCAGCTCCATTGTCAATGATGTCAATTATATGCCCTGTGAGAAATATAACTGTCAAAATTGGGCATTGTTTTGTTTTAATACAATTTTTAAATTTGCACTTACTTTATTGTTTTATCACATGTAATTTGCATAAACAGTGTAGGGATAGGACATTTATGTTAAGGCTTCTGTGAATGGTGTGTTACAGTTACTATTACTGGATTTCTGTACTTTGCCCATTATCTTATGTCACATTCATCACCATTATGTGCAGTGAGACATCTGATGTACCAGTTGGACCCTTACTTTTCCTCATATATATCAATGACCTGCCGGCAACTATAAACTCTATATCCAAACCTATTCTTTTTGCCCACATCAACAGTGTGCCGGCCGACCACGCAATGCAAGCATGACCGCAGCCTCATAAATTGTAGACCCGGTATATTACTGACTTTTCAATGCATATCCTGCACCATAGTGAATGAGTTAAGTAGAAGAATGTAATTCCTGTGACATTCACTTAAATCTTGTGATATTAAAATGTTGTGGTGTGTGATTGGTAGCATGAGGTATGTGCAAAGTTTGTATTTCTGGCTTTTAAATAATGGAAATGTGTACAAATTTGTAAACGATAGCTGCTAGTAAAAACCACTAAAACAGCTGTAAGCATCGTTATTATAGGAAGTACAGCAGCACTGCAGGGCGTCTGAATACGAGGCACAACTGCTGGCCAGACGACTGTAATAATCTCTTGTCAATATCAGAGATGGCGTGCTTCGGTATTTTGTAGTGCACCTACAATTCTTAACACATGGCTGCTGCAAGTTTTTTCCATAACGTCAATTGTTGGTTCAAGAGGAACAGCCGCCAGAGAGCTATTTTACCATTGTAATAAATTGTTTAATTACCATACTTCATTATTCTCTTTGACTCGACTAGGTGCTACAACACTTTCCAAAATCAGAATGTTATTCGAACAGGCACAATACGAATCAATGGAACGAAATGGCTAACCAATGACTGAATATCTTTCATACAAACAATATGGTGGCATCGTTATTTGAATCGGTTGTGTGAACGAATATTGTCTTGGAGTGTATATAAATTTACGGCCAACTGTACGGTAAGTGTCTTGAAATTGTATGAAGCATATATATAAATAATGAGTGCAGATTTAATACGAGAGATGATTACATTGCATCAATGAAGTATCCAAACTCTGTTCCATCAGAGACTAATGGCAGTGACTGACAATTATAACAGATTTCATTTCAACTTCTATATTTAAACTATAAATTTCCTATTTCGGTATTCTTTGTTTCAGTTTGGTGCCTTGACGAAGTTGTGGTTGGAAAGAGTTGCTATTTAAAATATAAGTGATCTATTTTTGGTGTTTTCATCGTTTTACTTTGGTGTTTTGCTGGTCTTGTGGTTGGAGACTACATCGTTGAAGGCCTGAAATTGAAGGTATGTGTTATGTTGTGTAGTTACATATTTTGCTGCATTAGAAGTGCCCACAAGTGAGTTAAACACAGGCCTGCATAAATTTAATTTAAGTAGGGAGCCACCTCCAAAAACTAGGAGCCAGAGGAAATAATACTGGTGCACATTTATTCGCAAACGCAGAAGCTGCCGCAATGAAATCGGAACTATATGACACGAATCTGAAATATTACACAATAATATACAAAGATAGTTAACCATCAGGATAACATTCAGAAAATTCCAGGTGTCTTGGTGACCAGGAACATGTGATTTGTGCAGGCCTGCTTAAATGAATCATTTTCTGATCCTGTTCCATAGCCAAGTATATCAACATTTTCCTTTTAATTCTTTTCAGCATTATTATAATTTATGTGCAGTCCACAGATCCTTCATAGTACAACCCAAGGATGTGGAACATGTCTAGTATGAATATGAACAGTAGTGGTACAATGAAATAAGTAAAGTAAAGTTTGTCCCACTATACGCCATGTAGTCAGTAGGAGGCAGTATGACCTCTGAAACATTGGTGGAAATCTACCAGACTACACGGTGCAATAACCCAGAAGACAGCAATCTTCAGTGATTATTTACATAAATTTTATTAACCAGCTGGTCTTTGTAATGGTGAATTGTTGTTTTCTTTGAGATAAGGACTGGATTTTGAAATATTATTTAGATGAACTTAAGCTTCAAATTGTTAAACATGCCTCATTATTCACTCTGCTGTTAATCACTTTCATTGAAAGTGAAATTTTGCATTGGAAAAGTTAGTAATTTTATCTTTTTTTATTGACATAATCTAGCATTATAATATGTAGATTATGTACATAGTAGCAAATTTACACAAGATTTTGCATTTATCAGAGAAAAGTCTGTTATATTTTTCATCAGTCTGTGCAGAGTTAGTTTATTGAGCAGTGCAACTGACTAGCTGAAATGTGTCGAACTGAAAACCATTCTTGCATATAAATGCATTTCTAGTCATAAACTTGGGTGCTGGTTATATTTGGAAGGGAATCTAAATAGGACATTCAGGGAAGTAGGTTCGAGGATAGTAGATGGATTAAATTGTATCCAATAGCAGGCTTTGATGTTAGTAGTGTTGAATCATCAGATTCTATTACCAAAGAGTTAGTGAATTTCATGACCAGTCATTTTAAGGAAGGAATTACTAATTTATTGATCTTTTAGTACAGACACAAAAATTATATATTATACAGTTATGATGCAGCAAATAGAAATAGCAGTATATTTTCTGAAGTAGGAGATATGGGCACTACCTTTCACGGAAAATAAACTGAAAATATTCAACTGATAAGGAATTAGCAACATACCTGTCAAAAATTGTCATCTGTTATATTTTGGTTCAAAGTTACTTTTAATTTTAATTAACACTTACATTAATGACTTAGATTTCTGTTTATTTTACTTTATGTGTATTGTTTAGCCTAACCTTCCCTTCATGCAGGAGAGAAAGGACACATGAGATCGCCTTGTCATCCACATGTGGGTGTGTGTCCATTTAAACTTTTTTGAACCAGTTGGCTATTTCCATTAAATTTGATTTGAAGTTTCTGCTACTGGAGGCTACCTCATTCTTGTATTACTCGTTTTATTAAAGTTGGTAATAACAGCATGGTAGACACACAAAATTGTGGGGTGGGAGCAACACTAGCATCCTTTAATACAGAATCCTGGAGTGATGTATGGCAATAAAATTTTTATGAAGGTACTTTTTTGTAGACTATAGGATCTGCATGAAATCTCTATTTAGCTTTCAGTTTGATGACAGTAACTAATGACTCATTCAATCTAGTCAACTGACATTTCATATGGACATTGATAAAAAAACACCTGCAGATGATACATGAAGTACTGTTCATAAGACCACTGAAAATATGGTGAGGTTATGGTTGACAGGTTTAACATGTACAAAATCTGTACTTCACTAATATGCTGCTACCCATCTTCCCCCTTCCAAATAATAATAGGCAATAATAACAGGAAAAGTGATAATGATGACCTGTAACATATTTAGAATTGCAGGAAGTAAAGAATTCTGTCTTTACTTGGATGTGACCTTGTAATCATGTGCACATGAACCCTGCATTCTAACCCATGAACTAAATTGCATTGTGGTGATGGGTTATATGTTTACAGTACCTAAATATGGCATTAAAAACACAAGATTTGCAGCCCTGGAAGTTGGTAGGCTATATTAGTTTATCCAGAAGTCCTTGATTAAAGATATCAAGTTAACTGCCTTCATTGTACATTGTCTTCCTCCAGTAGTTGAAAGTTAAGACAGTCTGCACTTTTGTGGAACTGAAAGGCTTGAGATGTGAGGCCTTGTGTGTTTGTTAGTGATAGCGGGTTGTCATACAAGGAGTAATATGTAAGATTTCCTGAATTGAATTACATGAAGATCTCTATTAGTACAAGTTGAAATCTAAGGGTTTCAAGATGCTATACAGCAGAATGAAAACTGTGTTTAATCACCTCAGTCGTCTGTGTGCAATGTATTTCCTTTTCTCTGAGACATGTCTGTGTGTTGGATAGTAGATACATATGATTTGGTATCTTTGCTCATAAATGGTGATCTTGTTTCTAATTTTGGGACATCAGATTTGGAAACATCATGTTTGTTCTGTTTGACATCATTGTAATTTTGTTTTATTGCATCATCATATTTAGTTGTGGTAAAAGAAGTTTCAGTATTACCAATTCCTTCTTTAACTGTAGTGCCATGAATAGACCTCTCAGTATCTGCTTTTGAAGAATCTGTTTTGCCAACCATATCTCTCTTTAACTGTTTATTTTGTTCATATTCCTTTTCAAGATACTTTTTAAATTCATCTTTGAAATATCCATCCATGGCATGCCAAACACTTACACTATACCATAATAAAAATACAATCAGAAATCCTCCCTGCAGAAGTTGTGCTGATGGAATCATTTTTACACTTGCACAACTAATTTCCTCTTCTGTATTATTTCAGAAAGTTATTTGCTCTTAGCAGTGTCTTTTTGTCCTTTGTTGGCCAGGTGTCACAGCTTATGTATTAAAGCTGTCCCAGGGAAGCATTTACTGTTAAATCATGGAATTAAAGTCTGGCTGGTAGTCGTAATGTGGGGTTTTAAATCCCCTGTTCCAGCAAACCATTGAAGATAGCTATATAGGCTGTAATCTGCAAAAATTATGTGTTTGATGGACACAGTCTTCACCATAAGGAACTCAGCTCAATAAATGAGTGTATGAATAAGTCTCCTGTTCACATACAGTAAACATTAATGAAAATCCTAGTTTCAGTTCTGCTGCTCAGTGAAGTAAGAACTAATAATTTCCATTACGTCTGTAACATGTGGCCAAGTCATAGTCATAAACATCACAATGGAATTGGTGATGACAAACAGTCTCATGCATGTAACTCCTTCTGATGACCATAACCAGTTTCCAAAACCTTGATTTTCATCATATGATAAATCATTCGCCTGTGTATGAGGCTTATTGTCTTCTTCATTTACAGCCTGGTTCTTTCTAACTTTCCTTTTCTTCATATTGATGAGTGTTAACTACATTACATGATTTGACAGGGATCTGGAAAAAAAAATAGAATAAGACAACTTTTTTAAAATAAGAAAGGGGAGGTTACACACAGCTGAGACGTCAAAGTGAGATACTAAACACTTACTGAATTAAACATCTGAAGAAATGAACATTTAATCATGGCAAGGTTATGACTTAACCTCGTAATGGTTCCGTGATACTAAATTTATATTATTAATTTCATTGTTACCTTGACTAAAGTTAATAAAGAACTGTATTAAGTTCTCTCACAAATCTTTATCGAAATATAGTTTGAATAGTGTAAGTCCTTGTTCACAGGAAGGGGAAATGAGAAATGCATACACAATTCTGGTTGGAAAACTTGAAGGCATGAGGCCGCTTGGAAAATCTAGGTATTGGGGTGGGGGGGTAACATTAAAGTGGATCTTGGGGAAATTGGGAGGCGGTGGGGTGTGTGTGTGTGTGAACTGTGTTCTTGTGGCTCAGAATATGGACTAGTTCATTTGTCTTCTCATGTGCCTATGAGACCTGTTGCTTGTTGAGAAAGGTTAGTTGTTTTCTTGAGTATTCTACTACTCCAACTAGAGGCTAATGTTTTCTTGACAATAATTATTATGCTTTCTTTTAATTTTTGCCGTGGTTTTGCAGGTTCATTTTGGTTAGGTTAGGTTAGGTCATGTCAGTTTAGGATATGTTGTTGTGATATCTGTTGTTCATCACTTTTACACACTAATATCATTGTCTGTTCACTAGAACACCATGTTTCGATCCAATATAACCATCGTCATGTTTATTCTTACGATTAAAATAAAAACTAGTTTTTAATAAAATTTGATGGGACCAATGGGTAACTGCTCTTTTATTTAAAATTAACGTTAAATTGTGAACTGGTCAAATGTCTGTAGGTTTCTATTTTAGTCTCTAAAGGAAGAAATTATCAAGCTGAGAATCCCCTAACAGAATTACAATGATAATGGTGTAACTGAAACACAGTCGTTAATATTTATATGGTTGAAAACCACTTAGTGGTGTTTCCATGATAACTTATAATAACAGTACACACTAGGATGATAGATATTGTTTATTATATTATAAGTAGATTGTAAAAGAATACTTTTTGGTATGTCATCATGTTTGAAATTATAACTAACCAATGGAGTGCAAGGTGTACTGATCTTTTTGTAAAAATTTCTGGTTATCTCCAATTAGCCAAGAAACATTTAAGTACTTGTTATTTACCTAGAAATTATCATACACCTTCATTTATGTAGGCGATGTATGAGGCATGTGTGATTTTCCCACACGGTAAAAATAATTTATCAGTTTTAACATCAAGTTACTTTTGTAGTCTTGTTGCATTCCTTAATTTATAACTCACACTGTAATGCAATAATGTTCTGTTTAATGAGAATGAGTCAGAGATAATATGTACAATGCAGAAATCTTCTGTGTTTTGTTTTGTCTAGGTGGCCCACTCTTTTCTTGGGCTAGTGATTGTAAGAGCCTACCTGGACATTGACGATAACACTTGTCCTTGTTGAAACTGCGTTTTCAATCAGTCTTGTGTGTGTGGGGCTGTTGGACTGTGTGTGAAGCCCTGCGCTTGAGACCTGGTGTGGCGTCCCAGGAGAGCGCAATTGGCTTTTCCTTTTAACCAGCTTCAAGTAATCCTGTTACTTCAGTGCTACCTCCTTTCCTCATGTACTGCCAATATCCCTTAAAAGTTGGCCCTAGAGTTGTTTTGGACGTATTACTGTAATATTTTATGTTAAATATACTCGCTTACTTTACAGTGCAGCAAATTCCTTGAAAAGTCGATTGTATATTCGGCTTGTCAGACACGATAAGCCCCTGATGATGGAGGCAGTTTTAACCTCTGAAAAGTTGGTTATTTATACGAGAC